CTTCGACTAATAGGGACCGACTTGGTCCAGTCCATCTCAGGTTAATTCCTAAACGGATGCACATGTTAATATATAAATTAGTCTATAACTGTAACAGGATAGCCTGTTGATTAACTCAGAAGATCTAGAAATTCAGGACACTTTAAATTGATTCGTCTTAATTTAACTCTTAGTTGATCATTTCAATATTATGTATTATAATCATGATCAGCATGATTACCTGTAATAGAATTTTCTCCTTTCTTCAATCTGCAACAAAAATCTTGACAACTTATGTAATTAATACATAGCGGACGTAAAACATTCTCATTTTTTTTTCATTTCAAACTGAGTTAGAGTGAAGATTGAAACCTACTGCAAGACAGTTTCAAATATAAATAAACTAACGACTCACCCTCGCTTCGCTCGGGTTCGTCCCTAGGTACGTTTTAACGCTTAGTATGAAATACAAATCTTTGAATTTCTTGGATTTTCTGTACTATAATATGCATGTATTAAACATATAAACCTACCTCTTGAATCACTCTATCTATTGCTAAAACTGAATTAAAATCCGTTGAGTAGTTTAAAAGATCTAAGCGAACATGAAGCGGCTTCATTTTATACTATGTAAAGATATTCGTAATCAATTTTGTAAAAGTTAATCTTCATGGTGAAGGACTTTCTAACGACCACTTTATATATAGACTTAATTTTATCCATTATTGAGCAGAACAAGAGAAATTATGCTTCTGGTAAGCTCCTAGTAACTAAACGAGGTCAATTATTGTTTACAATTACACCCTCAATTCCACATTTAATGCCGTAAAGCTACAGTATTTAAAAAGCGATTTTTCCACGCGTCGCAAAGGGTTAGCGGTTGGTTTAACAAAACAATTTATCGTCAATTTGCTAACGTCATTGTTTCCCGCCCAACGCTCCCCTCAAATTGAAATCAGCTGTGCCCTATTGAACTCTACCCTAGTATTTTTTAGCATGTCATAAAATTGTCATAAATATATCTCGTTATAAGATACTCAATACTGCCTATTTGAATTTTCAATATAATTATAATCTGTAGTTAAATATTGCTGATTGAAAATATATTTTCAAAATATATAGGTATTCATTGGTTTACATTCTTTTGTTTATAATACTAATGGGTTTGTTATTACATAATTTTTCTGAAGCAAGTATTATTAGCGAATCATCATCAGTGCTTGATTGTATACAGATTGTAATTGTTATAAACACCTATTACAAAATACTTGTATGTTAACTAAAACAATACAATTTAACAATTAATATATATAATTTAACAATTAATATATATAATGTATACAGATTGTAATTGTTATAAACACCTATTACAAAATACTTGTATGTTAACTAAAACAATACAATTTAACGACTATATTATTTTAAACTGGCGACTTACCTTCGCTTCGCTCGTTTGCGTCCCTAGGTACATTTTAATTTTTTGAGCGCAACCCTAATTCTTTTTTCTAAAATAAAAGTAGCCTAAGTTATTCCTTATAACATCAGCTATCCGCCAGTGAAAGTCCCAACAAAATCAATCCAGCTTTTTCGAAGATTAGCCGGAACAAACAGAGAGAAATATTTTAAAAAATATGTTTTTCTCATAAGTACCGTCCATATATATTATATTAACATATGCATTTACTAAAAAGCTGTTATTTTGACATTACAAACAGACATTCCAATTTTATTTATCTGTAAGAGAAAACAAATGTAATAAAAATACCTATATAATATAATTATCTGTAATATTAAATATGAAAATTGTAATCGAAAATATTTATCTCGCACTATCCGAACGAAATTGATTTAACAATATTCACGCCAAATCCCCATATTGTTCCTGCCACCGCGTGATGTTATTGTGTTGGTAATTGGAAGGAAATTAATAGTTAGAAACATTAAATATAATGCTATTGCAAATGCTCTACTACCTTGTAGTAAGGTGCATTTTCGTTTATTCTCAGTTATAATTATATTTGTATCCCATCGAGCACTATCAAGGGATGGAGTGAATACAATTGTAACAGTAAATCTATTTCAATGTATTTCCAGCTTCTGAATGTCAAGTGCAGACTATTTATATTATTATTTTTAAATTGTTTTTTTTTATTTTTTTTTGTTAATATAATTGAAACACTAATTATCATTATTTACCTATAAATATAAAAAAAATATGTTTGTTTGCTGGTACATACATAGTATGTACGTTGTAACACTATTCACTGTTAGATTGTGATGATATTCACTATACCTACGCATATCAGCGAAACTTTCTGTCATAGTATCAACGGTTACGCTCGAGATCGTGCATTCTATATTTTATTAGATACTAGCGACTCGCCCCCGCTTCACTTCGGGTTCGTCCCTGGACAAAAACAAATCTATCCCACGGGAACCGTACATTTTTCCGGGATAAAAAGTAACCTATGTGCTATTCTAGACTGTAATCTATCTTTGTACCAAATTTCATTAAAATCCGTTCAGCCGTTCAAGAGTAACAAACATCCATCCATCCATCCTCACAAACTTTCACATTTATAATATTAGTATGGATACTAAACATGTTTCTACAAGACTTATAATCTAATCTGAAGAATTATGTCTTGATCGAGGCTATTTTTTTAAGTTTAGATAAACAGTAGGTAGTTCAAAAGTATATGTATATATTTTTTTCTCGTCTTGCTCCTATCTACTCTGCCCCGTTACCCTTTGTCAGACGGGCAATAACACAATTTCTAGTGTTACTGTGCTAACGGCACTTTATTATATTAAGGGCGGAGAAACGCCCTTCTCGACTCATTGATTTTACTTCGCTTTGACCGTTTCTTGACCTAATTCTGTATAAAAATTAATATACATTTTATTTGTATAAAAGTGAAACAATTACTGTGTAATTTAATCGTTTTTAAACACATGTCCGTGGTAGGTTTTTATAATAACCTACATACCAACATAAAAAATAAAAATTAGCAAAAATATAATACTGATAATTACTTCTGGTTATTTAATAGGTCCTAGTTGTTAATTATTAATTTAAATATCTAATTCAATTCAAATAAACTAAGAACGGATTCTTATCCATACGATCTTACTCTTGGAAGAAGCATTATATCATAGAAACAACTTACCTAAATTAACTGTAAAATTATATAATACTAACCTCTAGCTTCAAAAGTCAAAGTAAGCAGAAGAACCTGATAATGAAATAACTTGAAATTCGTAGCCTAATTAAGCCAGTGTAAACAAACATACATCAAAGGACGCCAGACAGTGTCTCAACAAGAAATCCATTTGTTGGCACATTCAATAAGACGATTGGGATCCCCTTATATATTGATTGGGGTAATGTGATTATGTACATACATTTACTATATACGAATACAATTTGTATATAATGTTTTACTTTATAGGACATATTGTGGATGATTTTTAATGAAATTAGAATTTTTATTCTAAAAAGATATGTTATTATCTTACTAATATTATAAATGTGTAAGTATAGATGGATGTTTGAATGTTTGTTAATCAATTACGCCAGAACGGCTGAACGGCTCTGGATGAAATTTGGCATAGAGATAGATTATAGTCTGGAATAGCACATAGGCATTTTTATCCCGGAAAAATACAGTTTCCGTGGCATAGATGCGTGGCGAACTGGAGCGAAGCGAGGGTAAGCCGTTAGTCAATAATAAATTGTTAGTCAATAATAAATTTTAGGGAGTAACTGATTATTTTGTATTTGATTTATAGAAACATACTTACCTTAGACATTCAACGATGAAGATACACTTAAAAAATATAAAATATTATACCATATAAAATATACTTACATATACAGGATATAGAAACATTTTTACTATTCACATTATCTTCTCAAAAATTGTAAATTAACAACTTATACTCATATAAACATACCCTTATTTTTCGATGGAAGTAAACGCTGTATGACAATATCGAGAATAGTAGCATAAACAGCATAATCGCGCTACCATTTTAGTTTTTTTTTGGCGGACTCTATCTACAAATTGTTTAGTCTGAGGCCACGTATTAATTATACTTATATAATATAGCAGTTAAATACCTGAATATCGTTCATTTATCTTATACCCGTTAATTTCTTACCACGTACCAAACGGACACCTTAAGTCCAAAGGAGAAGCAATTAGTACCATTAGTAAAGCCCAATTAGATGCTTTAACGAAGCGAGTTCTCTAGTCGGGAGTAGGTGACAAACAGACGTCCGCCTGAGATACGGATCTGATATATTTGTATTTGTTAACTACACTGATAAAATTACTTGTAACTACCTACTGATTTGCTTAGTTTACGTGTTTGAAATGTCGATACTGTTTTGTGATTTAAACGAAGAGCAGAACTACTTTTTGACTTATTCAGGCATATTTTATAAATAACTAGCGATTCACTCTTGCTCCGATCGGGTACGTTTGAACGCTTAGTATTTATCAGGGATGAAATATTTTCCCGCAGTAAAAAGTATCCTATATAATTTGCTGGTTTTCCGGGTATATACCCGGAAAACCAGCAATCATCATTCCAAATTTCATCAAAATCTGTGTAGTGGTTTTTTCGTAATGCGTTCCCACACAGACAAAAATTCTAAAAACTATAGATTCGGTATATGTATCGATAATAATGACAATTCCAATAAGATTTTTCAAAAAATATTTAATGTACAGGTTGATGATAAAAAAGCATTGGAGATCATAAATATGTAAATAAACTAACCAATTTTTTTTAAGTTTTAAGTTCAGAATTGAATATAATATCAATCATTTACGACAGTTTCCAAGAAATTATCTGGGCTTTCCCTAACAAGCGGTAGGAATTTCACGTTATTTGTGTGGATTTTATGACTTTCAACTCTATTTAAGTAACAAAAATAGATATGTTATTGGAATTTACCGTTAATAATACAGGTATTGTTGTATTAACAGTATCATTTTTTTATTTGCAGAAACATGTCATCTAAAAGAAAATCGCCACCCTCTAAATTGCAAGACGGAACCGTTGACACAGAAAAGCCTGAAGCCGGTCCCGCTAATCTGGAATTCTCGGACAACCACGAATCAGATGACAACGATCGCTTTTACAAATTCTCACCGAGCTCTTCCCCTAGAACGTCTATAAGTGAGGAAGAAACTTACGAGGACGAGCAACCGAGTAAAAAGCAACGATTCGAAACCGACATGACAAATAACCTTCTAGTCCCATCGAGCTTTTTAAGTCTTCACCAGGTCAACGACCTCCAAGCTAGAAGACGTGGCTCGTCAGAATGCAGTAGCCCTGGAGCAGAAGCTAAGGTTTTGGGGCTATGCAATAACAATAATTCATTGCTGAATCATAACAGTGCGTTGTCTCTCGCGCCGCCGCATAAGCGGTCGATGGATGACGTGCTAAAGCGTTTGACGTCGAAAATGAACAATAGTACTATTAAAGAAGAGAAAAGGCCTACGCCGTCTACTACACCTGTTAAGCAGAACAAGTGAGTACCTATCTTTTTTTTTTGGGATATTCACAAATAGCACCATCTCCACCTAGTTCCATGATAAGCTACGAGGCTTGTGTTATGGATACCAGATTGTTGATACACTACATATATATAACTTTAAATACATACATATTATAAATATAAACACCATGACTGGAATACAAACATTCGTGCTTATCACACAAAGGAATGCCCCCAGCGGGACTCGAACCCGCGACCGCTGGCACAGCAATTAGGGTCACTACAAACTGAGCCAAACTTGTCATCAAATTTATGTATTAGTAATATATGGCAACACCTTTAATTTGTTTAAATTCGCAGCACTAATTTGACAGTTCTACGTAGTAGCTCTGAATTCTAGATACATAATTGGATTCCAAAAATTTTATAATCTGTAAAATATAACCCAACGCCAATCGATTTTCATAGGTTTTGCTAATTATTTATCTAAATTAAATTGCTCTTTCATTATCAATGAATTATAAAAATTGTAGTTATACACTATGTTGTATTAAAGTTTTCTTATAAACAACAAACACGTTGATAAACGTGAAAAAAAACGATAATTTTATACGATCGGTATTTATATATACCTACATCATATGATATAATTCTATTTAATAATACTATAATACTAATATTATAAAGAGGTAATGTTTGTGAGTTTGTGACGTTGTAGGGGGTAATCTCTTGATCTACTGAACCGGTTTAAATGAAATTTGGTAAGGAGACAGTTTGAGACCCCGGGAAGGGCATAGGATGCTTTTTATCCCGGTAATCATCCTTTAAGGATGTAAATATGGGGATGAAAGTTTGTATTGGGAAGCAAGCTAGGGACGAAACCGAGCGAGCCGAGGGTGAGTCGCTTATATATTAGACTAGGATTGCCCGCGGCTCCGCCTGCGTTCAGATGACCAAAAACCAAATTCTTAGGTTTTACATATTAGTAGGTATACTCTTACATTGCAGTTTTTGTATTTTGTCTTAGAAATGACACATTTTCCCGCGGTAAAAAGTATACTATATGTTGACCCGGATAACCAGCTATCACCATACCAAATTTCATCAAAATCCCTCCCGTGATTTTTCCGCGATGCGGTAACAGACAGACAGACAAAAAATCTAAAAACTACAGTTTCGGCCTCTGCATCGATAATAATGTCTATTTCAATAAGATTTTCCAAAAAATATTTAATGTACAGATTCGGCTTAGTTAGAATTTTATTATATGTAAGGATAAATTGGTAAGTTATCATCGAAATGAAAAGAACATCATTGGTTATAATTTGTGTGAGTAGGTAATGTATTGTTATGATAATCTCTGGTCAAGTGGGTATTGGTAATTTCCGATTAATTTAATATATAATTGAGTATTTTGTTTCAAAGTGTTTATGCTATGATACGGAAATCATTATTATGATGATAATGAAGTATATTATGCGTGTCATTGAAGATATATCAATGTTATTCTGTTACCTAAGCAAAAATGTGTTATATTATGTCTACCTAATCTATACATATAATAAAATTCTAACTGTGTCGAATCTGTACTTTCAATATTTTTTGGAAAATCTTCTTGAAATAGTCATTATTAGTACAGGGGTCAAATCTATAGTTTTTAGAATTTTTGGCTGTCTGTCCGTCTGTGAACGCATCACGAGAAAACCACTGGACATATTTTGATGGTATGATGATAGCTGGTTATCCGGGTAAACATATAAGATACTTTTTACTGCGGGAAAAGATCTCATCTTTGAGACATTTATATAAAACGTTAAAATAAATAATAATCTAATTTAAATCTATGTATATAAATTCAATGTCAAATGCCTTTTTATTTTCTATTAAAAATGTGACGTGTTCCGTTTACGCCTGTTTTTTTTTTATAATTTGACGCGCGTCGAAGGCTATTAAAATCAAGTTCCAAGTAAAAAGTAGAACAAATATAATTACCTATAATAATGTGGATTATACCAAAGTTTGTGCCTATTCAGAATTAAAAAAAAAGTCACAGTGGTAATATAGTATGTCATTATAGGAATACGTCTTTATGACATTATATAGATTTAGTAGCTTAATACTTAAGACATATAATTTTATATAGGTAGTAGCATTGCTCGCGGCTCCGCCCGCGTTCAGATGACCAAAAATTAAATTCTTAGGTTTTACAAATTAGTATACTCTTACATTGCAATTTTTGTATTTTTTCTCAGAAATGAGATATTTTCCCAGGGTAAAAAGTATCCTATATGTTGACTCGTATAATCAGCTATCACCATACCAAATTTCATCAAAATCCCTCCAGTGGTTTTCCTGTGATGCGGTAACAGACAGACAGACAGACAAAAAATCTAAAAACTATAGATTTGGCCTCTGTATCGATAATAATTTCTATTTCAATAAAATTTTCCAAAAAATATTTTATGTACAGATTCGGCTTAGTTACAATTTTATTATATAAAAATTATATCGTATTCTACGCACATATTATGTATATACGAGTAGGGTTTACGATTAAAAAGTAAAAATTAAATAAAAGGTTATATTTCGACTTTTCTTGAAATTTATGTGAATCGTACTTTGAGCCATTACTTATTTAATAAAAAAAAACTAATGAAAAACAATTTACAAAGTAATAACCTAACGTACAAAATATACATCCCTATTTAGTACCTCCTCTTTTTAAGTTGGTCAAAGAAATTATATATTTTGCTGCTATTTCATTAAATAGCTATATAAATTATCTTCCAGATATAAAACGTAATAGATGCTAAGTTTAAAGCCTTTTACCGACATACATAGATTGCTTTAATGATAAAGTGAGTACCTTCGCGTATGATGATCGATTAAAAATCTACTAAAGAATTAAATAGGTAATATAATATGTACTTAGCCCTTTAGATCCGTCTTCTTATTTATGTTTAAAGCTCATAAAATAATTGTAATATTATAAAGTAATACTAGCAGCACCCCTCGACTTTGCGTCGAGCAGTAATAGCAATTTATAAAGTACATCGAGATAGCTCATTTTCTATTTTATTATACACTTGCTTAAGTCCACAGCTAGGCTTGTGACGATAAACATATAACGAGCAACGACAGATACACAGAGGGAAAAAAAGCAGTCCTGAGGACTGCCGACAGAAGTGAAAACTTAAAACTATAAACAAACAGCTGTTACTTTTGTATATTCAAATTAATTGTTTGATCTTACTTAAATTAAAATTTGTAAATTAAAATTGTTTACATTTATCTGGTTTTGACATCTATCGGCACTCTGAGTGTTATCGTTAACACGTCACGTGACAGTCGATGAGGACTTACATGAATTTACTCCCCATCCAAACCTGCCTATAGAAGTTTTCACTTCAATAATAACAGTACACCGTTTTCGCTGTAATATTCTATAATTTTTATAGAATATTACAGCCAAAACGGTGGTTTTCCACATAAGCTTATTTAGTCTTATGTTATTGTTTATTTATTTTACAAGTATTTATAGAAAGGTATATAAAAATATAAACCGCTTTTATCTTAAATTTATAACATATCATTAAATTAAACTCGCAAAAATGAAACTTACAACATTTAACTATAATAAATGTCGTCACATAATTACAACGATGTAACGTTAGTACCGTTTTAATTACTAAATTTTACTGTCGCGACTGCACCAAAATAAAGCAAGCACTTCACTATTTGTGCTTAGTCGTTTTCTATTTAATTGGCCGTATTATGAACCATTAAACACAATGTAGAGACCACCGTAGGTCTCTATAAAAGCATTTAGCGCCGCGTTAAATGTTTTGCTATGATTTACGTGTTTGTCTCCGTGGGTAAGGGAAGTGCTGATATTTTAACCGACTTCGTAAAGGAGGTTTTCGATTCGTAATATTTTTTTTAAAGCTAAAGTATGATATTTTAAATAAAACTATATTTTCGCTGTTATATTTTGATTTTTGTTTTCGTAGCTTACGTTTACGAAGTTACAAATGGTTTTACCCAGAAATATATAATAATTTATTCTGATAATTCATTTTATTCGAAAGGCATTTGCTTCTGATGTTATTTCGCATGGGACTTGCAGTAGGTAGTCTAAGAAATAGAGTTCTTTAATTATATTCATATAATAGCGACTTACCCTCGCTTCGCTCGGGTTCGTTTCTGGTTACATTTTAAATTTTTAAGCGGAATTCTAATTCTTTTTCTAATATAAAAGTAGCAGGAATAAACAGACAGACAAAAACTTTAAAAAATGTGTTTTTCTTATAAGTACCGTATACAATTTCATAAGGATTTAGTAAAAAGTTCTTATTTTGACATTACAGATAGACTTCAGTTTTATTTATCTATATAGATAATACAAAAAATCTAAATACTTAACTGATCAATGAGGAAATTGAATGCTCTATATGAGTACATTTGACATGAGGTGGAGTTTAAGAAATCACGCCAGGCAATTATCACCTAGTGCATAATTTATTTACTGATAATAATAATTAACAGCTGCTTATCACGTTAGTCTATCCCACGACCATGACCACGGTTAACTAAAATTTTCTAAAACATCTAAAAATATATATGTACACTGTACAGTTATATTTGATGCGTAATTTCAAAATTAGAGTTAAGTAGAAGTACTAAGCAATAAGTAAATTAAATATGATATATTACAAATGCGTTTTCAATCTTTCTGTGCGAGTTTTGTTAAGTCAAAGTATATTTTTTGTACTTACTTTAACTGAAAGTTAAGATTGCTACCTGTCGAGATAATCAGACTTATTTTAGGGAAGGATTTAAAACAAATTTGCATAAAATTTGTTTTATATATTAGAACAGAATTGTACGTAAATATTATAAAAAATATAACAAATGTCTATTTCGACTCTATATTAATCATTAAAACGTTCTAAGAAATTCAGCTACATTGTTCTTTTCCCTGACGTTGACTTATAATTGTTTTTAATTGGTCATTTAATGGCCCATAAAAACTT